TACGTTCCACCTAGTATCAAGAATAAGCCAAATGAACTTCGAAACAATGAGAAGCAAATCTATGACCGGATTTCATGCAGCGTAAAATGGAGAAAAAAGTTTCAATGGAAGTCTCAATTCACGATTTTAATTGGTTGGTGGTATTAAGATGTGAACTGAAATAAACAAGAAATCGAGCCAAGTACATTCGTATATATGTCTGAACAGAATTGTTCAGAAGATAGCCGGTTCCGATTATGCCACGTATTTTAGTTGACATTTGCGAAGTTACAATTGAACTGCATGCAATCCTTGCTGAAACATCTGGAAAATTAGAGCAGGGTACAAGCAAGAACGATGATGAAGTCATTTGACGATGAAAACACAACCAGGACGAAAGAAAGATGTAAAATACAGAAGGTAATAACCTGACCAAATGAGAATATGTACTGAAAAATGAACAAAATAACGTTTCGAGATAAAACCTGCTAAAGTTAGGATACGATGAAAAAGATAATTAATCAGATAGGAACTAAAGGGAACCCAAAAACCGTAAGACCAAGTATACTCCGCAGGGAAACACGGCATAATGGAACATTACGTAGAGAAATACAAATTAAGATGAAGAACAAGATGCAAAAATGATCATATAAACATGATCGGATGACGGCTAAAACAAAGAAGATTTTATTTCTAGAAAAATGGGAGCAGGAGCAAAAGAAGACAAAAAAAGAGCAACGCAGGATAATGCAGTAGTGAAGAGACTTTAACAGATTTAAATCAAATTATGAACATAAGCATGACGGAAAACAATATTTTGTGGGAAAAATAAGAAAAGCTAATCGCTATTCAACAGAACTAACGAACAACGCCCGACGGGGCATCAGTAGCGGTAAACAATAAGCAATTAAAATAAATACAAAAAAACTGAAAGAAACATGAAAGGAAAACTAGTAAGACTATGGTGCTGTAGCAGGCCATGCAAGCCTTCTAAGAAGTTATATGCCCATGGATGGAGACACCACCGAAAAGGGGAAAAGCGCTTCCCACTCATAGGCTGCAACGCTCGAACAACCGGTACAAAATATCCAGCCCACATTTGAATTGGGCTCTTAGAGTAGACGTTTGGGATTACTTTTATGGTGGGCTTGTGTCCCATCGTCTGGTTGCATGATTAATAAAAAATAATAAAGTATAATCGGTCACAGGTGCGCCTCATCCCCCAAAAATCAATCTTAAAGCGGCTGACGAGCATATTCGCGAGGGAGGAAGCTACATCTGACAGAGCAAGGTCTGAACAAGAAAACAATAGGAGAAACAGAAGGGTTGGCATGCGCATGTCAAGATAGTTGCCTCAGTAAAAAACGATAAACGAAGGAAAACATGCGTGAAAAATGCGCAACAAACTATGAGGATCTTTTCAAGCATGTTCTGTTCTTCACCGTTGTTTGTTGTCCGCACGTTGTGCTTTTTGCCTTTATGCTGCCTTGCTATTGCTTACGCTCCAACGTTAAAGTGATCCAAATACTG